ACCAAGCATGATCAGGTAGCCACCAAGCGTGATTAGTTAGCAAACTAGCATGATGAGTTAGCCAGCTAGCATGATGAGTTAACCACCTAGCATAATGAGTTAGTCATCTAGCGTGATGAGTTAGCAAACTAGCATGATAAGTTAGCCAGCTAGCATGATGACTTAGCCACCTAGCATGATGAGTTTGTCATCTAGCGTGATGAGTTACCCACCAAGTGTGATGAGTAAGAGTGCGTGTACCACAGGAGTGCTGACATCTCTCATCTAATGTCAACACGACTTTCACACCACACCGCTACAAGCTTACACACACACACCTGTACCCACCACCTACAAGCTTACACACACCTATACCCACCCACCTACAAGCTTACACACACACACCTATACCCACCACCTACAAGCTTACACACACCTATACCCACCACCTACAAGCTTACATACATCTATACCCACCACCTACAAGCTTACACACACTTATACCCACCCACCTACAAGCTTACACACACCTATTCCCACCACCTACAAGCTTACACACACCTATACCCACCACCTACAAGCTTACACACACCTATACCCACCCACCTACAAGCTTACACACACACACCTATACCCACCACCTACAAGCTTACACACACCTATACCCACCACCTACAAGCTTACACACACTTATACTCACCCACCTACAAGCTTACACACACCTATTCCCACCACCTACAAGCTTACACACACCTATACCCACCACCTACAAGCTTACACACACCTATACCCACCCACCTACAAGCTTACACACACCTATACCCACCCACCTACAAGCTTACACACACCTATACCCACCCCACCTACAAGCTTACACACACCTATACCCACCCCACCTACAAGCTTACACACACACCTATACCCACCCACCTACAGGCTTACACACACACCTATACCCACCACCTACAAGCTTACACACACCTATACCCACCCACCTACAGGCTTACACACACGCACATATACCCACCACCTACAAGCTTACACACACCTATACCCACCACCTACAAGCTTACACACACCTATACCCACACCACCTACAAGCTTACACACACACCTATACCCACCCACCTACAAGCTTACACACACCTATACCCACCCACCTACAAGCTTACACACACCTATACCCACCCACCTACAAGCTTACACACACACACCTATACCCACCCATCTACAAGCTTACACACACACCTATACCCACCACCTACAAGCTTACACACACCTATACCCACCACCTACAAGCTTACACACACCTATGCCCACCCACCTACAAGCTTACACACACCTATACCCACCCACCTACAAGCTTACACACACACACCTATACCCACCCATCTACAAGCTTACACACACACCTATACCCACCACCTACAAGCTTACACACACCTATACCCACCCACCTACAAGCTTACACACACCTATACCCACCCACCTACAAGCTTACACACACACCTATACCCACCCATCTACAAGCTTACACACACACCTATACCCACCACCTATAAGCTTACACAACCCGTTCTCGCAAATTTAATAAGTCAATATTTACTTATTAAATATGTGCATAGGTGACATACTTAACATAATAGATACCCTTAAAAAGATTCATAGAAAACACCGACCTTACCTAACCTACTTAGTATGTTAAGATAAGCATCTTATTGCTTCGTAATTACAATTATTACCTAACCTATAATAGGTATAGGTTAAGTAATAATTGTAATTACGAAGCAATAAGATGCTTATCTTAAGATACTAACAAGGTTAGGTAAGGTCGGTGTTTTCTATGAATCTTTTTAAGGGTATCTATTATGTTTAGTATATCACCTATGCACGTAGTTAATAAGTCAATATTGACTTTACGAATTTGCGAGAACGGGTTGGCTTACAGACACCTATACCCACCACCTACAAGCTTACACACACCTATACCCACCCACGTACAAGCTTACACACACCTATACCCACCCACGTACAAGCTTACACACACCTATACCCACCCACCTACAAGCTTACACACCTATACCCACCCACCTACAAGCTTACACACACCTATACCCACCCACCTACAAGCTTACACTCACCTATACCCACCCACCTACAAGCTTACACACCTATACCCACCACCTACAAGCTTACACACACTTAAACCCACCCACGTACAAGCTTACACACACCTATACCCACCCACCTACAAGCTTACACACCTATACCCACCCACCTACAAGCTTACACACACCTATACCCACCACCTACAAGCTTACACTCACCTATACCCACCCACCTACAAGCTTACACACCTATACCCACCCACCTACAAGCTTACACACACCTATACCCACCACCTACAAGCTTACACACACACCTATACCAGTAGTGAATAATGAGACAAATCGTGAATTGATTTTCAGAAACGGTTGAGCACTTCCATGCCGACTCGACTCCTGAGGGCAGATTGGTGAAAAAAGCGGGCACAAGTCGCTCGGCGTGGGTCTGGGGTGGGTGGTGATCCTTCCCTCCCTCCCCCAAGGACCCCCCACCCACCTCCTAGGGTGAATCCAACCAGCTTTTTTTCACGATTTGTCCCTGGGCTCTGGCGTGAGTATTAGGCATCAATAGGGGGGGGGGGTCCCTACCTATGAAAGGTACAGAGGATGAATGTTCAATAGATTAAAACAAAACAAAAAATACACTGGCGAAAGGAATATGAACGTTTTTGGAGTATTTAATAGCATGAGCAAAAATTCACGATTTTGCCCGGGGTGTTACCCGAGTACTACGGTATCAATATGGGGGCCCCTACTTATAAATGGATCAGAGGGTGAAAAAATATGCAATTTAATACGGAATATAAACAGATTCCTAATATACATTAAATTGGTTAAAACACTAAACGATTTTCCTTCATAGTATATTTATAAGCGTCAAATGATAATATGGGGGATGTCAAACCCAACACAATATAGCTGAGGCCCCACTATTTAGCATTTTTTTGTATTCTATGAAATATCGCAGCTAACGTTAATGTTTCTAATGTTTATTACAAAAGATAGACATACATTTGATGCTATTTTCCATATTAAAAACTAATTTGATGTCTGGACAAATATATCTATAAAATCTATAAACAGGTTAGAACCATACAAATGCAAGCATGCCTTTTTCACCAGTACTCAATTGAATTCCACAGAAAATGGAATCTTTACTTTGGCTACAGAAAATGGCGCAAAGCCGAGGGGGGTGACTGGAATAAAGTTTCAACCTGACTCTTCTCACATATAAACATGTCTTTCTTGACCTCATTTCAAATTATATAAGAGTACTGAAAGCTCATTTTCCATAGCAAATATACTAAGAAACTCATTTTACGCCTAGAACGTAAACTAGGACCCCTCATTCAGATTAAAAACACGCGAATTATTGACTGAACATTTACCTACCATCAAACACACAGGACTCTTTAAAGCTATTTTAACTTCTTTAAAACCCTTATATGACTCCTCTCACATGCAGATCCTGTTTTATGGTTCGCCCTTCATGTCAATGTACCCCACAGTATCATGTAAATTCAAGATAAGCGTTACTACACCTAAATATCCAACTTGGTCTTTGTAAGGAACCTTGACCCCACTGGGGGTATTCATAGGTAGGGGGCCCCTATTGCTGACGTCAGGTCACGTGACACCCCCACGACACATAAGGAAAATTTCACCTGATTGGTCCATTACCCCGGACGCAAAGAGAATTTTTCTACTCGGCTCCTGATTGGTCTAAAACCGCGCCCCGTTCTCTTGGCCTCCCTCTGACCATTACAGAAAATGGAGCTGTGCCAAGGGCTCCCTATATTATTCTGTCATTGCATCATTAAAATACTCCAAAAACTTCTATATTCCCTTTCAACTGTGTTTTGTTTTGTTTTAATCTATTGAACATTCACCCTGATCCATTCATAAGTAGAAGCCCCCATATTGATACCGTAGTACTCTGGTAACACCCCGGGCCAAATCGTGAATTTTTGCTCATGCTATTAAATACTCCAAAAATGTTTATATTACGCCAATGTATTTTTTTTGTTTTAATCTATTGAACATTCATCCTCTGTACCTTTCATAGGTAGGAACCCCCGTATTGATGCCTAATACTCACGCCAGAGCCCAGGGACAAATCGTGAAAAAAAGCCGGTTGGATTCACCCTGGGAGGTGGGTGGTGGGGTCCTTGGGGGAGGGAGCAAAGGACCACCACCCGACCCCAGACCCACCCCGAGCGACTTGCGCTGCTTGTTTCACCAATCCGCCTGCAGGAGTCGAGTTGGCATGGAAGTGCCCAACCGTTTCTGAAAATCAATTCACGATTTGTCTCATTATTCACTACTTATACCCACCACTGGCATAACTGGCAATCCCCTCACAGTTTTCAAGAGAGAACTGGATAAGCACCTCCAAAGGATACCTGATCAACCAGGCTGTGACTCATACGTCAGACTGCGAGCAGCCGCGTCCAACAGCATGGTTGATCAGTCCAGCAACCAGGAGGCCTGGTCGACGACCGGGCCGCGGGGACGCTAAGCCCCGGAAGCACCTCAAGGTAACCACCTACATGCTTATGCACACCTATACCCACCCACCTACAAGCTTACACACACACACACACCTATACCCACACCACCTACAAACTTATGCACACCTATACCCACCCACCTACAAGCTTACACTCCCCTAACTGACCTACAAGATTAAGCTTACCATGAACCCACCCACCTACAAGCATACTCCCCCCCCCTAAAGACTCTTCTTAAACTAAGTCAACTTATGAGAACACCAATTAAGACCTCTCCCACCCGTCCCCCCCTACAGTCCAACGACCCCTTGAGGGGGTGGCGGGGGTGGGGGAGGGGATGATAGTAGGGGGCAGGCAGGTGCGAAGTGGACGCCCCCCTTCACCCCTCCCAGGGGGCCCAGCTTACCTCAGTGGTGAGGGGCACTGGGCAGTTGAAGTCCTGGAAGGGCAGGTCCTGGATGACGTGGGACTTGCGGGCCTTGGTGACGCAGATGTGGTCCTCCTGGGACACCATGTTGTCCTTGTTATTGGGGTTGCTGAGCCACCGCCGCAGCCACAGCAGGTCACAGCTGCACTCCAGGGGGTTGTCTGTGGTGGTGGGGGGAGGGGAGGGAGAGAAAGGGTGAAGATAATTCGATGTGGCAATATTGGTCGATGGTGCGGAAGGGAAGGGGGGGAGGGAGGTTGTGAGGGGAGTCAGGTTCATGAGGGGGAGGGGGTGATACAGGGGGGGGGGGAGAGTAATGAGGGAGGGAGGATGTTACGGGGTGAAAAGAAGAGGGAGTGAGTGGAATGAGGTGAGAGTGTGGACGTGTGGGTGAAGGCATGCTGTTGTGAGGAGGGTGTGTGAAAATGAGACGGACATGGAGTGAGTGAGAGGGTGAGGGGTGAGGAGTGAGTGAGAGGGTGAGGGGTGAGGAGTGAGTGAGAGGGTGAGGGGTGAGGAGTGAGTGAGAGGGTGAGGGGTGAGGAGTGAGTGAGAGGGAGATGGATGGGAAGAGTTCCTTGCGGAGTAGTAGTAGACAAGACAAGTGGTTAAGGAGACAGACTGCACAATAATCATAATATTAAAAGTAATAATAATAATGAAATAGTAATAACCAATATAATCATAACAAAAAATCCATAACTTTTGGCTTACAACAAATTTAATTCCAAGCCAAAACAATAAGAGTGAAGATATAAACAACAGAGACAGAAACACCACCAAAGTTACTCAACACAATAACAACAAAGACAAAAAGGAACCATCCAAGAGGCGAAGTATGGCGGGAAAACAACAATGGCAACCTGGAGGCAGTACAGGTAACAAGACACTGCAAACGGTGAGGGAATGTATGAGGTGAGAGAAAGTATGAGGTGAGAGAAAGTATGAGGTGAGAGAATGTATGAGGTGAGAGAAAGTATGAGGTGAGAGAATGTATGAGGTGAGAGAATGTATGAGGTGAGAGAATGTATGAGGTGAGAGAAAGTATGAGGTGAGAGAATGTATGAGGTGAGAGAATGTATGAGGTGAGAGAAAGTATGAGGTGAGAGAATGTATGAGGTGAGAGAATGTATGAGGTGAGAGAATGTATGAGGTGAGAGAAAGTATGAGGTGAGAGAATGTATGAGGTGAGAGAATGTATGAGGTGAGAGAAAGTATGAGGTGAGAGAATGTATGAGGTGAGAGAAAGTATGAGGTGAGAGAAAGTATGAGGTGAGAGAATGTATGAGGTGAGAGAATGTATGAGGTGAGAGAATGTATGAGGTGAGAGAATGTATGAGGTGAGAGAATGTATGAGGTGAGAGAATGTATGAGGTGAGAGAAAGTATGAGGTGAGAGAATGTATGAGGTGAGAGAATGTATGAGGTGAGAGAAAGTATGAGGTGAGAGAAGTACAATGTGACAATTGTACTTCTGTATCTTCCTCCCCGGGAGTAGGGGAAGAAAGTTACTCCTACCATGGCAACTCATTTTCACAAGTGATTATAAGAACATTGTGAGCCATTATTCGTCAAAAGCATATACACAATCTATTACGAAACCTATACATCTGTCGCTCATGAGAGTGACTTTCTTTACGATTATTCAACAGTTTACGATCTTTGAGACTTCACAACCCCCAAGGCTGTTGTTATAACCGAAAACATCGTGCTTCAGAACTGCTTAAAGAATGTCAACAAAGCCGGTCGAAGGAGCCGGTCGGCCGAGCGGACAGCACGCTGGATTTGTGATCCTGTGGTCCTGGGTTCGATCCCAGGCGCCGGCGAGAAACAATGGGCAGAGTTTCTTTCACCCTATGCCCCTGTTACCTAGCAGTAAAATAGGTACCTGGGTGTTAGTCAGCTGTCACTGGCTGCTTCCTGGGGGTGGAGGCCTGGTCGAGGACCGGGCCGCGGGGACACTAAAAAGCCCCGAAATCATCTCAAGATAACCTCAAGAAGCCACCGTGAGTCAGGAAAGATGAACAGATTTCGTCAGTAGTGGAGTAAATGCTTAATGAATCCTGGCCGAGGTCCCCTGCACACTGAAATCTATGAATCTACAAATAAACAGTGAGGACGAATGATGGTATCGAACCCGCCCCGGATGCAAACAGTAATGCCTATTTCGTTCAAGGACGAGGGTTCGATTCTATCTTATGACCTCAATATTTATTTTTAGATTCATAACGTTCTTGTTATTTCCGTATGCAGGGAGGCCGGGCCCAGGATCTCCCCAAGTATTTACACACACACATTAACGAAACCTCTACATCTTTCCTTAATCATGGAGGATTTGTTATAATTTATTAAACAGTTTAGGAGCCCCTGAAGCACTGGGTTCCCTTTTTTGAGGTTTGTGCTAGAGAAAAACAAGATAAATATAATGACAAAATCCAAAAACACATCCTAAATGGTATTTTTGAGACACATATAAATGTGTTTTGGTTTAGATGATTAAAGAAAAGGAGTGGAACGGTTTCAGATTTTGTTTAGAGGCTTAAGCTTACTGAGAAAGCTGTGAGCTTCCATGGTTTAAGTCCCGTCTATTTCTTAGTTTCTATGTTTCTTAGTGTAGAAAGTTTCTATATTTGTGTTAAGTTTCTTAATGTGTTAAATTTCTATATTTCTTATAGAAAGTCTACACTAAGAATACCCCCTGAGTCCAGGAAGGCTCTGGGGAGGATCAGAGATGGGGAGCAAGAAGAACAGGTTTTGGCAATGTCGACGAATACTCAATAACGTGAAATCTAATGGTGACCCATCCTCAGACTACCCTTGCCACAGGTGGCCGACCCCACCCATCCTCAGACTAGCCTCGTCCCAGCTGTGGCCGACCCCAACCCATCCTCAGACTACCCTTGCCACTGGTGGCCGACCCCACCCATCCTCAGACTAGCCTCGTCCCAGCTGTGGCCGACCCAAACCATCCTCAGACTAGCCTCGTCCCAGCTGTGGCCGACCCCAACCATCCTCAGACTAGCCTCGTCCTAGCTGTGGCCGACCCCAACCATCCTCAGACTAGCCTCGTCCCAGCTGTGGCCGACCCCAACCATCCTCAGACTAGCCTCGTCCCAGCTGTGGCCGACCCAAACCATCCTCAGACTAGCCTCGTCCCAGCTGTGGCCGACCCCAACCATCTTCAGACTAGCCTCGTCCCAGCTGTGGCCGACCCCAACCATCCTCAGACTAGCCTCGTCCCAGCTGTGGCCGACCCCAAAGATGCATTCGTTAATTTTGACGAACTGTGTTATTAGCATTAATGTATACTATATTATTTGTACATAGTTTGGCTTAGGATGGGTTGGATTAACTGTTGTAATTCTGTTGGCAATTATTTAATTTTATTTGTTCGTGGATGAGGCAATTCAAAAGCTGCAATACGAGCAAAGGAAGAGGGGGAAAGCACTGTTCAAGAGAAGATCGAACACAGTCAGCTGTGAATCCCATGTCAAGTACTTTTTCGTTCGTAAACGAGGGCTTTGGTGGCTGGATTAACGAGGATTTGGCCATTCTTTACGAGGACGGGCTTTGAATCCCCCTCATCAACCAAAAAGTCGACTCAAAGTCTCCAAGTACCAGAGATCGACGGAAGGAGGATGTAAGGAGATGAATGGTTAGACATGAGATGGGAGACTCACTGGAGACGTCGATCATGGTGAGTGTGTCGAGTATGGGCTGGACGGCGTCCTCGGTGAGGTGAGTGAGTTCGTTGTGGGACAGCTTCAGCCACTCCAGTGAATGCAGGTCCATGAACGCCGGCGGTGGTATGCTCCTTATGCTGTGTAGGGAGTAGACCAGGGGTTAGTGGTGGGCCCTGAGGGTAGACCAGGGGTTAGTGGTGGGCCCTGAGGGTAGACCAGGGGTTAGTGGTGGGCCCTGAGGGTAGACCAGGGGTTAGTGGTGGGCCCTGAGGGTAGACCAGGGGTTAGTGGTGGGCCCTGAGGGTAGACCAGGGGTTAGTGGTGGGCCCTGAGGGTAGACCAGGGGTTAGTGGTGGGCCCTGAGGGGTAGACAAGGGGTTAGGTTGGGCCCTGAGAGTAGTCGAGGGGTTAGGGTGGGCCCTGAGGAGTAGACAAAGGGGGGGGGGGTTAAGGTAGGCCCTGAGGGTAGACAAGGGGGGGTTAGGGTGGGCCCTGTGGGAAGACGAAGGATTAGGGTAGACTTTAAGGGCAGATGAAGTGGGATAGAGTGGCCTTGAGGTCTAGCCTCCATAGGTTTAGTTACCTTCAGGGACAGTTACCTTCAGGGACAGTTACCTTCAGGGACAGTTACCTTCAGGGACAGTGCCTATCTTCCCTTTCACCTGTTCCTCCCCCCCCCCCCTCCCTCATACAACACCTTTAGTGTTTTTCCTTTTGAGATTTCGTCCTTCTACCGTTCTCTTTTGCCCCCTCCTATCCTCTTTCACTCTCCTTCCTATCCTCTCACACCTTCCCTCCCATCCTCTCTCACTCTTCCATCACCTCTTTTGTAAGGAAATAATGGGACCGTGTACGGGTGGTCAACATGTGAACTAAAAGAAGTTTAGTGCACTTCTTTAGTGCAAAAGAAGCTAGCGGCAGCATCCACACGCCTCATTTAAAAAGACATCAATATAGCTGGGAACCCAGCAAAACTCTACTGACTTGAATTTACTGGAAATAAGAAACAGCCAATGTTGAATCTCGACGACCACCGGATGGACCGGATTAAAGGACCCGAGAGCCATGAGGGCACTACGAGAGTCAACAACAACCACAAAGGAAGATTGACAACGAGAGAGCAGGAGACGAAGAGCATAGAGAATAGCATAAAGTTCTGCTGTGAAGATGCTAGTCTCCAGGGGTAAGCGACACATATAAGTGCAATCAGGAAAAACAACAGAGTAGCCAACACCGTCCGCAGTAGCCTAAGTCCGCAGACTTAGACCCATCAGAGTAGACGGAAACGGAGTGGGAATGCGAAGAAAAGTGCTCAAGAAAAAGGCGTTTCAGAACCGTAGAAGGGGTAAGAGCTTTACTAATGCGGGTCAAGGATGTACAAAACTTCAGAAGGGGCACTCTCCACGGGGGCAAGGAAGGAACAACACGAGGAGATACATTAGAAATACGAATGAAAAGAGAATTCCGTAAGCGAGATAACCGGACAAAAAGATGAAGGTGGTGAAGAGGAACAGGAACCGCAGGAGGGGTAAAAGTTAAAGCACGACAGAGGCGAGAGGAAGGATGTTGTAAGGACCGCGCAAGATAGCGAAGACAGTAGTGATCACGGCGGTCCTGGAGAGACAGGAAGCCAGAGTCAACATAAACGCTGAGGACGGGAGTCGAACGAAAGGCACCAGAGCTGAAGCGCAACACTGTTGGGTAAGTGTACTCACCTAATCTTTTTCTCCCACATTCCAGCTTTCTCCCTCTCCTAGCCCCTCTCTCTCTCTCTCTCTCCCCAGCCTCTCCTCCCTCTCCCTGCCACCTGCTACCCCTGGAAGAGTCTGGGCAAAGCGTCTGACGACCTCTCAACTCTGTCATTATGTCCTTCACACTACCGATTGTTCATACCCCGCCACACACACACACACACACACACACACACACACACACACACACACACACACACACACACACACACACACACACACACACACACACACACACACACAGGGTCAGGGAAATGGCTACTAGAGTTTAACACCAGTAAATGTAAAGTTATGGAAATGGGATCAGGTGACAGGAGACCAAAGGGACAGTACACAATGAAGGGGAACAGCCTACCTGTAACGATTAGAGAAAGAGACCTGGGAGTGGATGTGACACCTAATCTAACTCCTGAGGCACATATAAATAGGATAACGACAGCAGCGTACTCTACACTGGCGAAAATTAGAACTTCATTCAGAAACCTAAATGAGGAAGCTTTTAGGGCGCTTTACACTGCCTACGTGAGACCCGTCTTAGAGTATGCCGCGCCATCATGGAGCCCCCACCTGAAGAAACACATAAAGAAACTGGAGAAGGTTCAGAGGTTTGCGACGAGGCTTGTCCCAGAGTTACGAGGGATGGGATATGAAGAGCGTCTGCAGGAACTGAACCTTACGACACTAGAGAAAAGAAGGGAGAGAGGAGATATGATAGGGACATATAAAATACTCAGAGGAATTGACAAAGAGGAAATAGATGAAATGCTCACACGTAATAATAACAGAACGAGGGGACATAGGTGGAAACTGGAAACTCAGATGAGTCACAGAGATGTTAGGAAGTTTTCTTTTAGCGTGAGAGTAGTGGAAAAATGGAATGCACTTGGGGAACAGGTTGTGGAAGCAAATACTATTCATACTTTTAAAACTAGGTATGATAGGGAAATGGGACAGGAGTCATTGCTGTAAACAAACGATTGCTGGAAAGGCGGGATCCAAGAGTCAATGCTCGATCCTGCAAGCACAAATAGGTGAGTACACACACACACACACAAAGGTAGCTGTGTGTGTGGGGCGCTGGTGGCAAAGTGGACAGCACGCTGGGCACGTAATCCTGTGGACTGGGGTTCGATTCCCAGCGCCGGCGAGAAACAAAATGGACACAATTTCTTTCATCCTCATGCCCCTGTTTCCTAATAGGTACCTGGGAGTTATACAGCTGTTACAGACTTTTTCCTGGCCGGGAAAAACCCCTGGTGCTTGAACCCCCTGGTGCTTGAACCCCCTGGTGCTTGAACCCCCTGGTGCTTGAACCCCCTGGTGCTTGAACCCCCTGGTGCTTGAACCCCCTGGTGCTTGAACCCCCTGGTGCTTGAACCCCCTGGTGCTTGAACCCCCTGGTGCTTGAACCCTCTGGTGCTTGAACCCCCTGGTGCTTGAACCCCCTGGTGCTTGAACCCCCTGGTGCTTGAACCCCCTGGTGCTTGAACCCCCTGGTGCTTGAACCCTCTGGTGCTTGAACCCCCTGGTGCTTGAACCCCCTGGTGCTTGAACCCTCTGGTGCTTGAACCCCCTGGTGCTTGAACCCCCTGGTGCTTGAACCCCCTGGTGCTTGAACCCCCTGGTGCTTGTGCTTGAACCCCCTGGTGCTTGAACCCCCTGGTGCTTGAACCCCCTGGTGCTTGAACCCCCTGGTGCTTGAACCCCCTGGTGCTTGAACCCCTTGAACCCCCTGGTGCTTGAACCCCCTGGTGCTTGAACCCCCTGGTGCTTGAACCCCCTGGTGCTTGAACCCCCTGGTGCTTGAACCCCCTGGTGCTTGAACCCCCTGGTGCTTGAACCCCCTGGTGCTTGAACCCCCTGGTGCTTGAACCCCCTGGTGCTTGAACCCCCTGGTGCTTGAACCCCCTGGTGCTTGAACCCCCTGGTGCTTGAACCCCCTGGTGCTTGAACCCCCTGGTGCTTGAACCCCCTGGTGCTTGAACCCCCTGGTGCTTGAACCCCCTGGTGCTTGAACCCCCTGGTGCTTGAACCCCCTGGTGCTTGAACCCCCTGGTGCTTGAACCCCCTGGTGCTTGAACCCCCTGGTGCTTGAACCCCCTGGTGCTTGAACCCCCTGGTGCTTGAACCCCCTGGTGCTTGAACCCCCTGGTGCTTGAACCCCCTGGTGCTTGAACCCCCTGGTGCTGAACCCCCTGGTGCTTGAACCCCCTGGTGCTTGAACCCCCTGGTGCTTGAACCCCCTGGTGCTTGAACCCCCTGGTGCTTGAACCCCCTGGTGCTTGAACCCCCTGGTGCTTGAACCCCCTGGTGCTTGAACCCCCTGGTGCTTGAACCCCCTGGTGCTTGAACCCCCTGGTGCTTGAACCCCTGGTGCTGAACCCCCTGTGCTTGAACCCCCTGGTGCTTGAACCCCCTGGTGCTGAACCCCCTGGTGCTTGAACCCCCTGGTGCTTGAACCCCCTGGTGCTTGAACCCCCTGGTGCTTGAACCCCCTGGTGCTTGAACCCCCTGGTGCTTGAACCCCCTGGTGCTTGAACCCCCTGGTGCTTGAACCCCCTTGAACCCCCTGGTGCTTGAACCCCCTGGTGCTTGAACCCCCTGGTGCTTGAACCCCCTGGTGCTTGAACCCCCTGGTGCTTGAACCCCCTGGTGCTTGAACCCCCTGGTGCTTGAACCCCCTGGTGCTTGAACCCCCTGGTGCTTGAACCCCCTTGAACCCCCTGGTGCTTGAACCCCCTGGTGCTTGAACCCCCTGGTGCTTGAACCCCCTGGTGCTTGAACCCCCTGGTGCTTGAACCCCCTTGAACCCCCTGTGCTTGAACCCCCTGGTGCTTGAACCCCCTGGTGCTTGAACCCCCTGGTGCTTGAACCCCCTGGTGCTTGAACCCCCTGGTGCTTGAACCCCCTGGTGCTTGAACCCCCTGGTGCTTGAACCCCCTGGTGCTTGAACCCCCTGGTGCTTGAACCCCCTGGTGCTTGAACCCCCTGGTGCCTGAACCCCCTGGTGCTTGAACCCCCTGGTGCTTGAACCCCCTGGTGCTTGAACCCCCTGGTGCTTGAACCCCTGGTGCTTGAACCCCTGGTGCTGCTTGAACCCCCTGGTGCTTGAACCCCCTGGTGCTTGAACCCCCTGGTGCTTGAACCCCCTGGTGCTTGAACCCCTGGTGCTTGAACCCCCTGGTGCTTGAACCCCCTGGTGCTTGAACCCCCTGGTGCTTGAACCCCCTGGTGCTTGAACCCCTGGTGCTTGAACCCCCTGGTGCTTGAACCCCCTGGTGCTTGAACCCCCTGGTGCTTGAACCCCCTGGTGCTTGAACCCCCTGGTGCTTGAACCCCCTGGTGCTTGAACCCCCTGGTGCTTGAACCCCCTGGTGCTTGAACCC